CTATTTGCGTTACCAGGGGCAGGTCCGTGGGTGACGGCGTGGCCTGGTTTCGCAGCTTGTCCATAACGATTTTGTATGGTCGTCCCCATGGGCAGTCGTCAACTGACTGGACAAGGTCCTTCCAGCATTGCCGCTTACTGTTCTTGATCGCTCTTCGCAGCTCCGCTCTTGCCTCTTTGTAACACTCGTGGTAGTGTGCTCTGTCAATTCGCGCTCTCTGAGCAGTTCTGCGTGCACTAATACAGCCCTCTCGCAGACGAGCAATGTCGTCATTCCACCAGTACACTGGAGGTCGAGCTTTCCTAGGCGTAGATCTAGACATTGATGCATCACATGCGTATGTCACGAGGCCCATTAGTTTTTTAGCCTTCTCGGCTGCGGAGCCGGCAATGCTTCGGTCATCGGCAATAGCCACCTTAAAAGTCTCCTGGTCGAAAGACTTTGTGCTCCATTTCCGCGGCGGGGCCGGTGCTTTTTTCCTTTTTTCATCCAGGAGCGTCAGAAGTATAGCTCTGTGGTCGCTCTCAGTGTGGTCGTCCAGCACTTTCCACTCGATTACTCTGGCCGCTACTTCGCTACTGGCGAATGTTAGGTCAATAATGGACGTTTTGTCTCCTCTGACCAGTGTTGGCTTAGTGCCAGTGTTCAGGAGGCACATGTCCAAAGAGGCCATGCATTCAAGCAGCATATTTCCTCTTGCAGTGTTGCGCCTGCTTCCCCACACAGTGGACCAGGCGTTGAAGTCGCCAGCTATAACAGCTGGTCTTTTACCGGCCGTCTCACGCTCGAGTCGATAAAGCAGTGCTTCGAACTGCTCGTTGCTTAGTCTAGGCGGTGCGTAGACGCTGAAAATGTACAGCCCCTCCACTTTAGCCCACGACAGCATCTCGGTACGAGGGTTGGAGCGAGCCTCAATCCTCTTGTCCCCAGCGGCCCAAACAGCCGCGAGGCTTTTCGCATCCGAAACCCAGCAGCCACGGTCGCGATCTCTATACTGCTCGGAGACGATGACTACATCGACCTCCCTGTCCTGGGCGATATACTGCAGCATGTCCTGTGCTGCCACGCAATGATTAAGATTTATTTGTAGAAGTCTCATCCACCTTTCTTGTTTGAGGTCACCTGGGCAAGTGGACATGCTTTACCGTTAGCAGCATGGTCCACCTTGTCAAAGCCTCGCTCTTGGCAAAGCACACACCTCGGCGGGTTTTTGCAGATAGCCGCAATATGCCCTGGTTTGCCACATCGGATGCATAGGTCTCGCCTGTCCTTCCCCTTGCACTGTGCAGCGACGTGATCGGGGAGCCAGCACCTGAAACATCGATTTACTGCATCAATACAGCGCACTCGGCAGTTGACCCAGCCTACTCGCACACGGCCGATTGACAGCAGCTTTGCCGCATCCTTATGAGCTAAATTGATAGTAGCCCTTTGGGTGTTACCATACGCAGGTCTTAACGACCGAACCACAATGTCACCGTCCTCGGGGTCGCTTAGTGCACACGCGAGGGCACTCCGTAGCTCTTCCTTGGTAGTGACTTCATCCATGTCGCTCACCACCAGCGTCGCACGCTGGGTCTTTGCGCAGACTTCAACTTCATTGCCGACGCGGCTAGCGACTGCCTCGACCATGTCCTTTATATTTTTGGCCTCCTTCGATAGCTCAAAAAGCAGGGCTCCTCCAGCGTTCCGTCGGATCCTAGTGACGCCGGCGCTGAATTCTTTCAGGTTGGGGTCACTCTTCACATTCCTCAGTATGTCCGCATACGAGGAATTATTAGCTGCTTTAACGAGGACAGCAGTCGGTCTTGCGCGACCAAGCCGCCGTCGCCCGCAAAAATTCTCAGCCTTTTTGGTATTCTTACCTACCACCTTCGTCCACCGTTCCTCGGCCACCCGTTGCCCCTTCAGAGGCGTTTCTATACCGTTTCGTTTGACGGCCGCACTGTTACTTTGAAGGACGCCCTGTTTGCCTTTCGTCACAGCATTCTTGCTGGTACTTGCAGTCGTTTCCTTCGCTCGATTCTTGGCTGCGGGAGTGCGCATAGAGGTCTGGGTAGCCTTTTCCAGCACACCATCTCTACCGCAATTGAGCACATAGTCCTGCGCTACACATACGCTTTCGTACGTTACCTCAATTTGTCGGACAAGATCTCTGATCTTGGTCTGGACACCTCTCGTCTTGTCAACGTAGCTCCTGAGCTCCTCGATCTTATCACCTAGACGATCGAGGTGCTCGGCACGTGATTTCACAAATTTCTTCTTTTCTTCCTTCCTTTCGTCCGCCGTCGCGCCCGAAGCCGCGTTCGCCAGCTCCATATCCGCGAAGGGCGCCTGCCAGTCCTGCGACCCGTCAATCATGACCGCACAGCGTAGCTCTCGTACGCCGGCGTGTTGACAGACCGGGAAAACCGGCGCGCGTACTCAAACTAACACTAACTTACCAGTCACACGGACAAGTAACGCGCGGGAAAACACAGCACAAGTTTCTCAAGCAGTCAAGAAAAAAGTCTTTCTGCCGTTGAGATAGCACTATAGAAAAACGACACTCGCACTTGTTCACATACAGCTCTTCAACCTGCACATGTACCACACATGTTGGCACACAAAAAGCACAGATTTTAGCAGCAAAACTATCACAAACACAAGAGCCCAAGCAGACACGTCTAGCCTGCTTCACACCTCTCTCGTATCTCCTGCTGATACAAGGTGTGCCGTAGGGCGTGGGTTCGATCCCCACTTGGCGAATTTGCGAGGTTCGTTTTTTCGCCTGGTGTGGTCGAGCCCGTGCCCGAGGTGGAGGGGGTACCACTCAAAAAGAAGACCCGGGCCATGTCATCAGCCTCCGAAGTGGTAAAAAACCCCGATCACTGTGCGAGCTGGAAGCGATAGGATAACCACAATTAGGGGCCCGAGGCGAGGACTCACAAGACTGGCAATAGATGGAGCACAACACTCCCATGATGAAGTCGGAAGCGAGAACCACACTCACAAGACGACAACAGAAAAGGAGAAGTATCAAAAACTCACGGAGACTCATAGGGTAGCGCCTGAAGCGAGAACTACACTCACAAGACGACAACAGAAAAGGAGAAGTATCAAAAACTCACGGAGACTCATAGGGTAGCGCCGGAAGCGAGAACCACACTCACAAGACGACAACAGAAAAGGAGGAGTATCAAAAACTCACGGAGACTCATAGGGTAGCACCGGAAGCGAGAACCACTCTCACAAGATAGCACTATAATGACGGAAGAAACAAGAAGACAATCGCGTTCTGGCTGACGAGCCAGAACCACGCGCCACGGGATTTGGTGGCCAAACACATCAATAAGGCCTTCGCAAGACAGAAGCGAGTATATAATAAGGGACAGGAAGTCGTAGTTTTCGAGGAAAGGGATCTGATATTGCGAACAACGCAACCACTATTAGACGGGATAAAAGGCTACCCGTCGAAACTCGCACCTAAGTTCGACGGTTCGTTTCAAGTCTCGAAAGTATTGGGCCTGGACACGTATACCCTCGATATAAAGGGCGGACGCAGCGTTCCAAAGATTCACTCCGAACCCCTCAAGATGTACGAATCCTCGAATCCCACGTAATATCGCTACGAACCCCGGCCCCTTCGAAGCTTCGGTAGTGGAAAAGTTATTTGCTTTGTTTTCTACTTTTTTTTCTGCTTTTAGGGTCAACTGACTAGTGAATGAACGACTGTCACGTCGAGGGGGTGACATGAGCATTTTAAGTGTCAAATATAATAAAAGTTTGAAATAATATTAGAAATAGTTATTATGCAACGGGAGTTGCACTGGCCTTGCATGATTCTGTGCCGAGCCCAAGTAGCCCATAGCACTGGCAATCGTTGAATTTGTCTTAATCATATATTTATTTACTGTATTTACCCTTTTATGTATATTTTCGATTATCACTTTCACACATGCAAAACAGAATACTGTTCATTGCATGGTGGCAGGGACTTGATGATTTCATTTTGTTATATATATTTATAAATAAGCAGATATTTGAATTAGAGAAATAGAAATCATTTTGGAAAGAAGAAATAGATATTACGTACTGATAAATAATATTGTTTATTACTCACATTCTTAAACTTCTATACAGATATTTGAAAGGTAGAGCGTGGATGGACAATCACGCACTTGTCGATCGGTAGCAGGTCGTAATGTGTAAAGAAGTAGACGGCCAGTATAGGGTCCGGCGGTACTTCTTCCTTTTATCCATATCCTAAACCCTTGCCGAGAGAGAGATCCGAGTATCACGAGCCCGATATTAAACTTGGATTTACAAGAGCGCCGAATCCGCAGCGAGAGAGTCGCAAGAGACGCGACTCGCGTGTATGATCCGCGCGCCTGCTGAGGACAAGCAGACGAAAAGCTGTCATAGAAGGGAGGCCTAATTAGCTGACGGGCCAACGACTGCGAGGCTGTGCGAGCACTCTGTGCTGGTCCGCGCTCAGCGACGCTACGCCTCATTCGCAGAATCATAAAGAAAAAAGGATTCACTATTGAATAAATATAATACTTTATAGTATTAATAAAAACATAAAATATCGGCTTATTTATAGCGATATCACACGACCACCAGTAAATGAATGACTAGTACATTAAATTAATTAAATAATGAATATTTTAATAACGTTTTTGTTTATTATAACCACTCATCTTTTCTTGGGTGACAGCACTTTCAACACTAACAGTTTTATTTGAATTAAAACCATTTTTTTGTTAGTAAATCTATTTATATCACACTCTAGTGCATAAAATCATTCAATCACTGGGTAAATTAGACATAATCAATGTTTACCCACTGACTGAATAGACATCCTGAAATATCTTCGTTGCAGAGGTTTCATCAAGCCTAATTGCATGCATCTTACAGGTAGACCCCGGACGTGCAGAACGGATCCACCAGCCCAAAGGACACACGTAACCGACGAAGTGCGTCAGGGGTAAAAATATAGGTTACAAATATGAATTCTTCAATGAGACACGGTTATTTTATGGATAGTTACATAATAATTAATTATAAAATTGACAATATTACACGTTCATTGACAGGTTCAGCAGCATTCATTCATTGGTTCAGGGCATTCATTTCCCGCTAACTTTTAAAATTTTTTCCCGCCAAAATTTGAAAAATTTTTCCCGCCAAAATTCAAATTATTTCCCGCTGAATTTGGAAAAATTTTTCCCGCCAAAATTCAAAAATTTTTCCCGCCAAATTTTGAAATTTTTTCCCGCCAAATTTCAAATTTTTTCCCGCCAAAATTTAAATTCCCGCCAAAATTCAAATTTTTTCCCGCCAAATTTTGAAATTTTTTCCCGCCAAATTTTGAAAATTTTTTCCCGCCAAAATTCAAATTTTTTCCCGCCAAAATTCAAATTTTTCCCGCCAAAATTCAAAATTTTTTCCCGCCAAAATTCAAATTTTTTTCCCCGCCAAAATTCAAATTTTTTCCCGCCAAA